CCTGTGATCCCGTCTTATTCAGAGGAAATTTTAGCTTCCAGTAATAAAACACTGCAAAGGCGTGACAGCGACACCATTTCGAACTAACAGCCATACATAGTTGTGCTGCATCAACCCCAGAAGCGAACCCCAGTTACCTTGTGCTGTGCTGGCTTGTAATGAATCGCTCATGTTGCTTCCCACATTGTACTGAAAACTGAGGATAAGGATTACACACACCTTTCAAAAGCTGAAACTAGCAACAAAACATTTTTTTCCTTTTCAAATTAAATGTACAGTTTTCCATTCGGCTCTTACAAAGTGCGTATAAATAAAGTGTCTAGTTTATTAAAAACACAAACCAATTAATGAAGTTCAGTCAGTCACAGTAATAGTAAGATACATTATAGCAATAGAATGTTTAAAACATAATGCCCATACATGCACACTCACTGCTCGCATCGATTTGCTGACCTGTATTGTGTGCCACTGACAAGGTTTGTGACCTGGTACCCAAGGTTTTGTCCATTGCTTTGAGTAACGTCCAGGAGGTCCCTTCTGTTCCGACATGAAGGAACCGCAAACACGTTCTGCAGGGTTACTTTGACAGACAAATTAGCAGCAAAGCATCAGTTACTGTTACACAATATGACAAATAGTTATTAGTAAGTATTCACAGTTGTTGAACTTTATTATTATAAGTGAAAGTACAGAATAATGCGATGGGTATTACATTAACATTTTCTATAAACATTATTATTATTATTATTATTATTATTATTGTTTGAGGTAGATAGGTCCAGGTCCAGAGAGTAATAATCCAGGCCAAAATTTTGTTTCAATCAATCAGTTAAGTATAAAGAGTCACAGTCACAGAGTACTCAACTGGTTGGTTGAAACAATATTTTGGCCTGGATTTTTACTCTCTGGACCTGGAACTATCCACCTCTGATTATTATTATATAACTGTTTACTTGTCCTCTGTGACCTGTGGCTGAGACAAGTAAGAATCAATTAAAAATGATTCTCTCTTACCAGTACTCTTATTGGCCATGTTCTGGTAAGTCAAAGACACCTTCTGTCCCGCAAGAGAGCATGGTGGTACATTGAGGAGCACGGAGTCTGTGAATGTCGCAGTCACCACACTTGAGGAGTCGAGGAGTTGCAAAGGAAAATCTGGAATATTAAATGATTCAATACATCTGATTACACAAGAGTCTCAGTCAGATTTTAGAATTAGACCCAGTTTTAAAATAGACCTCTAGCACTTTGACGACATAAGAAGTCAGGCAAGACCTTATGTCACCTTTTATTTTACGATATTTGTAGCGATTTAACAAAAGCGTTAAATTAACAACAACAGTCGATAAGAACAGAGACTCACTTGCGTAGGCCAAGGTGAGCAGCACCCCAAACGCGGTGATTCTCAGAGTCTGCATGGTCTTTGAACTTCACCTGTCTCGTCTAGTTCGAGTTAGAATAGTGCAAACAGGAGAGCAGCTTTTGAAACTGGGAGCGTAGAGGAAAACTGGTATAACTCGAACTACTCAGCAAATCAGAAAACACCAAGAAACCAGTCTGACTGGGTATATTGAATTTTTTATCTCCCATCCCTAAGGTGGGGCATTATTGTGTGACGTCATATCTGTCTAATGCATATGAGTTAAATATTTTTTCATTGTTTTTGCAGGCCGATGTACTGTACACTGGCCCGGAATCTCTTATGTGACAGTTTCAGGTGACTGGTTTTAAGGTTTGAATCTCCTGGGATGGCATTTTAAATGACTCTTTCCACTGCACCGAGAACCGTATTGCAGCTGGTGACTTTGTGTGTGGCCGAACATGTCAAGTCATGCTGTGCGCTGCCATTGTGGACCACACCATCCCCACCCTGTCGAAAAAAATCTGTGACGTTTTTTAACAAGGATGCTCAGTACTTACACCTGAGTTATTTGCGTCAGTCTTTCAGTAGTCCGGCCCTCCTGTTTAATTACCTGGTTATTCCTTGTTTTCCAGGCTTCCTTTACAGAATCTTTGAAATAGTTGGCCTACGAAATATCATATCATGTGACACATATTTTTCACCGAAGACACAGTTACGACGCTTCACTTTTATGTCAACTCATATTACCATAAAATTTAACTTGTGATTGACATGGCATGACAATATTACTGGTAACAGCATCAAAAACGATATTCATCAAATACAATATTACGTGAATTTTTGATGATGAAGAAATCCGATTTCCCTGTGGTCTAACTGACTGATCTTGCTGACAGTTTTCCTGTCACAGACAAGCTGCCAGGGACGATCTAACGGGTTACTTTGGTTCACCGATGACTGTGATGTTGATGCGATGGCAGTTTTAATGCAAGATGAGCCGTTTTTAGCTATTCTAGAATATCTGCAACAATTAATTTCAGTCGTACAGGGTGAGTTAAAACTTACTAGAAGGCATATCTAGGCTTATACTGTCATTGAGTTGTATTTTATTTTATCCTTTTTTTAAAGTTGATAAATTAAACCATCTCCCTCTTGGAAGAAATTCAAAGCTTTATTTTTGTCCCATACTGGTCTTATTTATTTGTCTATTTGTTTGTTATTTTGTATTTTCGTTTTTTTAAATCCTTTTGAGTTCAAGCAATCATCAAGATCGTACAAAGTACACGCAAGCACGTTGTGAACTCATTTAGTAAAACAATACCTGTTTCAATCTCATCTATTTCTCTTCTTATAGCCTATAATATCAAAAGCATCTCATTCGTGACTATTCCGCTAAGCAACTGTCCGTTCCTATAGTCGCGCGGCGGGGACGCGCATTCGGGACGCGCGTTGCAGACGCGCAGCGGCGACGAAGAGGGAGGGAGCGGGTAACGGGAGGTGTGTTTCTATACCAGTCTATTGGGTGGAGCTTCAGGAGCGGAAAAGGATGCGCGCTGGGGCCGCCAAGACAAAAAAGGAGGGGTGGGTGGGGGGTGACATGGAGGGCGGTGTTTATATCTAATTGAGCAAGATAGCTGACTAGATGCAATTGTTTATTTATCCCGTTCCCCATTGTCTGCGTGAGCAATTTGTTTTGATTTCATATTTAATTATTTATGATTATCCGGGTTTTCCGGGAGTTTTTTTTTTTTGAGGCTCCGGTTTCATTTCCTCTGCAGCCAGCTTAGCGCCTCCTGTCCTGTACGCTCGCAGAAACTTCCCGTCTGAGCGAAAGGCGGCTCGAAAAAACAAGCGAAGGAGCCGAGCAAGTGGGGCGGAAACAAGAGGGGATCGGAGCAAAGGAGCTACTGGAGGATAAGCGCAGCCTGTTTACGTAAAGGGGGGAAAGGGGACCGCGGCGGGACGGGGATTTATTCGTTTCCGGTGCTGGGCAGATGATTGCATGACAGACCCAGATATCTTTCCCAGTTGTGGGGTCTTGCATCCTGCGTGCGTATTCGGGGGTTTTAATGGGACATCTGCTTAGCTACAACCCCCCATCCCTACCAGCGAGCTATTGATTGAGTCTAATACAGACATTTTGTCCTGGGAAATCAGCCCACATTATCGGGAAGGAGGGCTGTCCCCCCCACTCCCCCCCAGCCCCGGGGTCTTCCCGGTCGGCTGTAGCTGAGCTAAAAGCATGGCAGGAAATCTGAAGAAAGGGGGGCTGATCGGCATGATGAAGGACGCGTTTCAGCCCCATCATCACCACCTCCACTCCCATCACCAGCCGGGCTCCGTGGACAAAAAGACGGTAGAAAAATGCTGGAAGCTTATGGACAAGGTAAGTTATTTTGGCGATCGTGGAGATCGAATTTTTGTCATATGGACCTGAAGGCGTCGGTTTGTGTACAACCCAGATGCATGTCGCTTATTCCACTTAACGGTACCGATTGTTCTTTCGAGACGTCGATCGACGAGGTAGTTGTGCAGCGCAACGGCGCTACATCCATAACGGCTTGGCTGCGTTACTTTGCATATACAGATACCTATTAGCCAGCCAGGCATGCATTTACTAGGGCTAAATACTAACAAACGTGTTAATGTAAAGCTTTGGACCGGTGTTCTACGCCGCTTTACAGTTAATTAGCGGGTTAATTGGCGGTGTCACAGCCTACAGGTGCTGCCTGTCACTGATGTGAGTGTCACGCTCTCACACCGCGTGGCCCCGTGCACCTTGACAAGAATATGCTCTTTTGTTCCGTTGTAGTTTTTTGGCAGCTTCAGAGGAAATAACCTACTTTATCTTTGTAGTGTAACATCGAAGCTGGAGGTTTGCATTTTTTATAGACAGTAGGAGGTTTCGAGTCATACGGGTTAGTGCTATTATTGTACTTAATAAAACTTGCAGTTGGTTGATTGCCCTGATAACTTATTGTAACTTACTGTTGCTTATTTGCATGGATCTGGTGGTGCAGGTCAAATTGCAAATGACGTCTCAGTGAATTTGTAAGCCTGGGGCTAGTTATTTGGGTTAGTGGGCTGAGCCTCTGTGCCTGTGATCGGAAGGACACTTGATCGAGGCCAGCCTGGGCAGAACAGTTACTGTACATGGGTCCTTGACAAGGCTGTTAACTCCCAGCTCCATGGGCGCCGCTATGGGTGACTGCCATATGTGTCTGTGTGTGTGGTAGGCAAAGAGGAAGCTTCTCCACAGGAATCTATAAAGTATTATTATTATTAGTCTGTACCAGTTTGTTAAATTTTTAGCATTTGAATATAAACATAAAGGTGCGTCCGTGGAGGACTGCATGCAGTGAAGCGCCTAAAAACTTAGTGTCGGTTAAGGTCACTGTTAATCTGGAGGATTTTGCTTTTGTCAAACTTTAGAAGCAGCATGTGAGATACAGCAGCACCGCCGGCTTGCCGTAGCGACACCAGCTGCCTGGGAAGATTAACATGTTATCTCCAGTAGTGACACCGCGGGCCAGTGATGCAGCTCGCCAGATTAGGCTTCTTAACACTTACGATAACCTGGCAGGCATCCTCTAAAATACGTTTGTGTGTGAAGATTCATAATGCGATTCTCTGTTTCATTAAAATCGTTTTGTGAATTGGTGCTTGCTGCCTGAAGTCCTTTTGACAGTAACGATGAGTGATTTGAATGAGGTTTTTGCACATTTAAATTTAGCTTTTCGAAGACACTTTCGTGCCTCGTAACAGCTGTGGTTAGTTGACACTGCACACTTGGTTGCATGTTAAGTTTGTATGTGCCAGCTCCTTGACTGGTCAGTGGGGTGACTTCATCTGCTCAGAATCCTGTGTGATAGGCTGTCTGTGTGTGTGTGTCTGGTGTCCGTGTGTGTGTGTGTGTGTGTGTCTGCCTGTGTGTGTGTGTCTGTGTGTGTCTCATTTTCCCCTCATTCCCCAATTTGGCAGTTGAAGCTGAAGGTATTTCCCCTCCTGCGTGGAGTTTGTTTGTCACATGGAAGCAGTGAAGCAGACATTGCTCAGCTCTCCTTTGCCCGTCGACAACTTGGGTCTGCAGTTCAGGTGTTCCGACCCTGGTTCTGCTGGCTCTGCGGTGGTACCTACAGCCCCAGTAAGCTTCACCCCCCCATCCCTGTAAGCCGACCATCGGACGAGGAAATGGAGGCTTGCGGACTTGCACTTATGGCAGGGTTTGTGAAATAAAATAGCGAAACGGCAAAACATACAAGAGCACCACCTTATAAATGTTATACTTTTCGTCCGCCCCCAAGTAAAGGGGCCATATAGACCAAAGATCCCTTTAAAATATGTTGGACATCATTACATAAAATGGACCCACTCTGATTCTTTAGCCAGGTTCTGCATGTGTGTGTATTTTTGTGTTGGTGCACATGTGCTTCCTGAAAGAGCAATTTCTAATATATGTGTTAAAATCTTGATAGCAAACCAACAGCTGTTTCCCAGTCTGGTGCACCATCATCTAAGGCCTGTACTGAGCACCTGGGAGCATCCAGAATTTTCTAATGAACAGACACGCAACAAACCATTCATTAATATGCTCCAGGGAGTTGCCATGTTTTTTAAATATTTACATCAGTTATAAAAGTAGCAAGTAGTTAATAATAATAAAAGGAATAACAGTCAAACATAGTCATGTGGAAAATGGTTGGACTTCTTCTGTTATCGGTTGCAGAACTTCAGTAAAGTAAAATCTTCATGCCCCCCGGCTGGTCTGTCCTTCTGCTCTGAGGTCACAGGATTGTGTCTTTATTTCATCCTTAGTGTCTTGGTTCGTACTTCCAGAATTTTCCCACCTGGGGTGTGGATTATGAGGTGCATTCCTGACCTCTATATGACATCACCTTGGCTCCACTCCTGGGGGTTCCCCAGTTCATACTGCTGATAGAGCCACGACTCTCAACCGCTTCCACTGCCCCCCCCCCCACACACAAGTGATTTAAATGATTTTTTCCTTTCTCTCTTTCTGCACATAGTCCCGAGTTTGCGGCTGCTATCCAGGGAACAGGTCAGGAACTCCGCTATTTACACAACTGCCTGTAGCTTGGACCCAGTCGGTACCAGTTCACATTCCAGGAAGCGTGTGTTTGTTGTTTTCAGTGGGAGGGTGTCTTTTGATGACAGGAAAACTTAGCCGAAGATCGGAAACGGCGAGTTTTTATATCGCGGCTGGTTGTTAACGTGGTGATTCGGAGATGAGCCTGTAATGACGTCTCAGAGCCATTCCCAGGTCGAGAGGTCATCCTCATTAGTATATTGTTTAGTCAGAGATAGGTGTTCCCGTGGGGGGGGGGGATGCTTAAATATAAACAAGACTGCTGGTTATGTATCTGAAGCAATTAATCTCTGTTTGGGGGGGGCCAGGAATCTCAGAATCCCCTCTAAGTGATGTCGTCACTAAACGACTTTCAGAAGGTGTCGTCCGTGCGAGGGGCGTTGACCTTGACGCGTATAAAGCGGCAGGCCCTAGTGAATGTGGCTTCTCGCATGCCTGGAATGTGGCCGCCCGTATATATTTATACGCCGTAAGACACGCCCCGAGTGGGTTTCACTGAGATAGTTTTGATAAGAGGATGATGTGTTTGTTTGCGGGTTTTTTTTTTTTTTTTTTTGGTCTATTTTTTTTTTTTTTTTTTTGGTCTAAATGGAGAAACCGCATTTTGATGTCAGATCTCATCGGATTGTGTCGCCCCCCCCCCCCCCCCCACCATATATAAAAAAGAAAAGGATTCCAGTTTTGTGTATTATTCATCTTCTACCTTCTCCTCTTGGTCAGTTGGAGGCTGTATTTCTTGGGTATGATGCCACACACACCATGGGCAATTTTACAGGAGGAAATTTATTGGGAGACTATGCAACACACACACACGCACGCACACACACACACACACATCAAGTAGGAGCTGGAATCAAGCCCCCAACCCCGTAGGTGGGAGATAGCGCTGCTACCCCCTGACCCATGGAGCCCCCCCTGTATAATATTTTTTCCTTAAGCTGGGACAGCAACAGGGCAGACAGAGCACCCACTGGGCACTTCCAAAGTACTGGAAGAATGTTTTTTGATTGTCTAGCCCAGTGCTTCCCAATCCAATCCTTGGGGATCCATAGACAGTCCACGTTTTTGAGGTATAGTACTAATACTAATACTAATAATATGTTCTTACTAATACTGATACTAATGCTAATGCTAATACTCCCTACCGGGAGCTGGGAGGGAGCAAAAATGTGGACCGTCTGATAGGGAGCTCGAAGGGAGCAAAAACATGAAGCGACAGGTGTTCAGGTACCTCCACTGTTATGGAACCTGTCACTGACCGCAAGCTCCTCCCATCAGGAGTAAGCTCCCGCCCCCCAGGCAGTGAGTCCATGCCGCGATTGGAGCATGGGCTCAGATCCACAGCGTGCTTGACACAACCCCTTCTCGGATTGTTCCTTCCCAGACTTCAGCTAGCCTGCAGTGAATGCTACCCCGAACAGCAATTCATTACAGAAATATGATCGTTTAATTTGATTTCTGCCTCGCCGAACGGCTGCCTCGATCGATCGCAGCAGGCTCTCGGCTTGAGAAAGGCTTGGGGTTCCTTGCCACAGTTCTGTCACTTGCACACTTCCGGAGCAGATTTCGACATGTCCCCCTGCCCCCTGCGCTCTCAGTATATGCTGGCAACTGAGTGAAAGGGACTTCGCTTGCATGGAGGATGATTGTTTTGAGACATACAGGTTGAATCTGGAACATTGAATTAGTTTGTGTGTTTGGCGGGGGAGGCTTGCTGAACTCCGATATCATTTGTCCATGCAGCCTTGCCCTTGCCCTCTGCAAGTGTATAAGTTTGTTTAGGCCTCGGTTGCTGAACACAGTTGGCGCCACTGATGTTCTTCCCCTGTACCACCCTCCCATCTCCGTCAGGTGGTCCGGCTGTGCCAGAACCCCAAGTTGGCACTGAAGAACAGCCCGCCGTACATCCTGGACCTGCTGCCGGACACGTACCAGCACCTGCGCACCATCCTGTCGCGCTACGAGGGCAAGATGGAGACGCTGGGCGACAACGAGTACTTCCGCGTCTTCATGGAGAACCTGACCAAGAAGACCAAGCAGACCATCAGCCTGTTCAAGGAGGGCAAGGAGCGCATGTATGAGGAGAACTCGCAGCCCAGGTAACCCACAGGCCCCGCCCCTGATACTCAGGCCCCGCCCACAGTGATTAGGACACACCCCAAACCTGGGATAACCCTAAACCCTGCATGTAGTCCAGTGGTTCTATGACCTTTAACCTGATCATAGTGGGAATCATGATTCGCTATTCAGTTTGGCACTTATGTTCTCAAGCCGACTGACAAATTCAGTCAATGACTGGTCCCCCCCCGGCCACCGCCTTGATGTGACAAAGCCATTTCCCTTCTTGATTCTGGTAAATACATTGTCACAGTGACCTCTGGCCCCCACCCCCCCCCCCACCACGCACTGGATGAACTGCTTCTGAGTCATATCTGGATAAATGTTTGCCAGGAAATTGTTTTTGGTCTCAGTTTTTCTGGGTTTGTGTCCCTTGTCGATAAGTGACTGTGGGGGTGGGGGCAGGCGACACTAACCTGTTCAATATAGGAGAGATGACCCCCCCATTTTACTTTGCTTTAGTTCTGCCCCCTCTTGCTGTTTCCATGACCCTGTTTTACCCTCTGTCCGTGCTAATCTCCTCATCTTCTGGCCGGACAGGAAGTGGGCGGGGCTCCATCTGCGGGGCGTCGCCTGCGAGCCGTTTGCAGCCGAGCAGATCGCGGGGGCTCGGCGCTATGCGATTGGTGTTCCCAGGATCGTGCTCAGTGCTGTCATCATCATCTCTCTGTCTGATGGCCTCGTCTGGGTGTGTGACAGGAATGCTGTTGGTCCATTGATCGTGCTGGTTGGCGCTTCTGTAGATCTTCAGAGGCTTTGCATGTGCAATTTACTGGTTTTGAGGGTGTGTGGGTGCAGAATTATCTGGCTTTATGGACATTCGTGTGCAGAATTAACTGGTTATGCGGACATTCTGAGGTTCACTGTACAGCAGTTTATGAAGGCTGTTGTTTTTCCGAAATCGATCTGTACCGCCCTCCGTGCAGCTCAGTCAGTTACGGTTTCGCACCTCTGTGCGGCTGGGTGAGTGTCAACGAACACCTCGGCTAGATGTATAGCAGACGCAGGTGCCGGAGGTGCCGTCTTGACGATGCTGGTCTTCATCCTGAAATGCTGCGTTTAAACACTGAAACCCTTTTACCGGCTTCCTCAGTAGCTCTGACCTCACGCCCTATAACTGTGGCGTTGAGAAGCTGAGTGACCCTGCGTCACGGTAATAGGCCTCTGTTGACCATTCTGGGCCCGCTGTCCAGGTGCTACCAACCCTCTCCTAAGACAGTGTTTCTAAGGGACCCCCCCCCAGACAGTCGACGTTTGCAGCTCCCAGTCAATTAAGAATATCAATTACTTGGTACACGTAGGCTGGGAGCTGGGGGTCTGGATGCATGCTCTGTCTGGGGGTCCATCAGGACTGGATTAAGAAACACTGCTCTAGATTACAGCCACGGGCTGTTTGTTTTTCTTTTTTTTTTTAATCTCCCTAGGAATGGAGGATACACAAATTAAGCTCTCGTTGTTCTTCAGTTCTGTCGTTTACACAAATAGCGAATACCTCTTTGCAGAGGCGTTTATTTTTGTATTTAAAGCCAAGCTGCTTTGAACTAACATTTATATCTAATGTTCCCACCTATTTGTCACGCTTCTAAAGTTAGTGCCCTCTCGTTAAAGCCTTTTTTCCCCTTAAGGGGCATTCTGAAACCCCCTGGGCTCAAGGCAACTCCCCCACGTTGGTTCAGTATGATGCAGCCTTCTTGTGAGAAGTGGTGATCACACAGGAAGTTGATGTGTGTTTAGGTTTAAATTAAGGCCAAACACAGCCTTAGACACTTCCACAGCTGATGATTCGGGCTTTCTGGATTTCCCGTCGTGCCGAGGTCGAGCCAAACCGGTGACAGACAGTACCGGCCAATATAATGTGTGCTTGTGTGTGTATAAAATGGAGAGCTTACACATTACACTGTCACGGATTAGGTTTCTTGTAATACAACGTATCTGGTTTCAAAACGCTGCCGGCAAACCCTTATCACGCTCTTACTTCCTGTTCCCTGACTGAATGTATCTTCTGCTCTCTGCCCTGCAGAGCGAAGCAATTTCTTGCACTTTTTTGAGTGTTTACCTCAGTTCTGTGAAACTTCCAAGAAATTTGCTTTCTGAAATGCGTTTCATAGTAAGCGGGGCTGCAGCTCGACCCCCTCTGACCTTAAATGACGAAGAATTTTTCGGTCGTATTGCACAGATATTGTGACTACGGAATTCCATGCAGGACTTTCCCTGGCATTCTTTGCACTGTTACTGTTTATTGTTGTCTCTCTTATTTATTTGTGCCATCTACTGATGTCTAGATGTCTTTTTACTGTCTAAATTAAGGTTGAGCAATATGGCAAAAATACCACATCACCATGTGTTTCAGGCAGCGCGACGATCCACCTTCACGTCATGATTGTTTTTCATGTTGGTTTTTCACGATACTGAAAAGTACAAACAAGCTAATTTCCTATATTTTAAAATTTTGCCCTATAAGGTAACAAAAAATAAATGGGGGAAAAAAAAGTTACCAATGTCAAATTCTGTTTAGGGACCGACTCCTCCATGTCGTTCGTCCCGCTGCGTTGCCGAATAGGGAATGTGTAGCATATTGCGCGTTACGCGCTGGGACAAGGGTGCGAAAGGCAGAGAGGAAGAAATCCAAGGCACTACATACTGCCTGCTATCATCGGTTTATTGGTGTGTCAAAAACAACTTCAGATGCGTGTATGAGCCATAGAACTGCGACTGACAGAATGTGCGCTATAACATGACGCTAATGATCCATCCATAAAGGCAGATTGTGGATTTTTTAATCCTTCACGATCTGATATCGTCAAATCACACATTCCTGATCTAAACATGTGTATTGTTCTAATGTAAACCTGCAGTTTTCTTCTGGATTAATAACACATTTATCTAGCTAATTAGTAGAGGTGCATCAGTATCGATGCCAGTATAAATATCGGGTCCTACTCAGTGCTCATGTACTCATACTTATGACAGTGTGCCAATGCCTATAACCGATACCAAGTGATGTATCTGTGATATTATTAGCAAGCAAAATAAACGGGACCACAATATCTCTCTGGTGTGGAAGTACTTCAAAATTTATGACAATATCCAAAGCATAGCGGACCGAAAACTGTGCTCTGCTAAAATATCACGTAGCACTGAGGGAGAAAATGTCGTAGTGGTGGTACGCGGAGAGTGTAACAATTTCTGAGGTGGTATGCAGTCTAAAAAGTTCGTGAACCACTGCTTCAAATGGCTTTACATGGTGTGTGACATGTTTTTAAATCATAATGAAATCCAGTCCACTGATCCATTGTTTTCCACAGAGAGAAATGATCAAAAGCACCACTAATCAGCACCCCCCCCCCCCCCCAACAAGTGTTGTTAACGCTGGCTGTTTACCGGATTATCGTATTGTTTTTCCGTGGATTCACATTTATGTTTCAGCTAAAAAAAACGACGTGCTCCTGATCCATTGTTTTCCACAGAGAGAAATGATCAAAAGCACCACTAATCAGCACCCCCCCACCCCCCCAACAAGTGTTGTTAACGCTGGCTGTTTACCGGATTATCGTATTGTTTTTCCGTGGATTCACATTTATGTTTCAGCTAAAAAAAACGACGTGCTCCTCTTGGCCCCATATATATGTCTTGATATTATTGTTTATCCCAATATTTTTTAAATAAATATTTTTTTTTATTGCTGTGTTTGAGTACCAGTAAGCAAGCATCAGTATTCGTACTTGGTCTGGGGAAAAAAAAACTAGTGTTGATGCATCCCTAGCTGCTAGCCATTTTCTAGCTAGGTAGCTAACTAGCTAACTGTCGAACTGTATCTAGCTATCTCGTTAAAAAGGCCTGACAGATGCTATGGTCCGGCACACAGGTACGGAAGGATGTCAAGCATGTCGGCCATTTTGACAGCTAGCCCAGGGTTCTTGCGGTCTTTTTTCATTGTCTTGTGTGTCTGGAAACGTCTTTTAAAACACACAGTTCCCCCCCCCCCCCACCTGCTAAAGCAGACAGCTGCGGAGAAGCAAACCGAAAGATGTACCCCGCGTCGTTCACGAGATAACAAACCCGCAGCCAGGAGGTACTTTCGCGTGAAGAGAAATGCGCACCTGTTTCCTGCGAGGTCGCAGGGATGACGGCACGTGCGGGGGCCGCGACCCAAGCCGGGGGCAATGGTACTGGCACCTGTCATACTCAGTCCTTCCCTTACCGGAGAGGAGGAGAAGGAGGCGGCTTTTAAAACGGCGTCGGGGCCACAGACGACCGCTCCTGCTACTTCCAGGAACCGGATGGTTCATTTACTGAGCAGGTGCCTTTATTAAGGATGGGGTGTTCTGTATTTGTCGTCGAGCAAGTGGGTCACACCAGCACAACAACATTTTGCAGCAGCTTCCATGACATAACTTGTACAATTTTACAATTAATATGATGTATATATTAATTGTAATTATATTACATTTTGGGGACCAAATGCACCCTGCAGAAAATTTTTATTCGGGTGGCCATTGGGGTGAGGAAGGGAGAGTAGATGATAAAAATTTGTATGTGGGGGGGAGGGCGGATCAGTCCCAGCGGATCAGTCGGTTTTATTGACGTGTGGCGGTACCAGGGGTAACCGGGGGTTCTCTAGGTTCTGCTCCTAACAGATATCAATAAATAATAGCCTGTAAAATGATTCCCTATATAATGGAAAGAATATCACACTGTTAATGCAAAGTTTTATCCAAAGTGACATGCGAGTGATTAATAGAGAGTGGGGTCAGATGGAAGTAGTAGGAGTTATGCGCATTGCTGAAGGGCATGATGGGGATGGGATTTGACCCCAGAATGTTCTAGACATGGGTACAGATTACTAGCAACACAGCAAGGAATTGTGGAACTGGGTGGGGGGCAGCTGCTGTCCCCACTGAAAATGAGAGGAGCTAACCTTGGCGTGGGGAGTCACTGCAGGGCTTTCACTCGCATTTAGCAATGCTAATAACGCAATGCT